TCATTTTGTAATTAACTGTTATGGTTACTTGAGTTGTTATGAGACGGGGAAATGCGTAGGAATCGTGCGTGGGTAAGCATCTGCAAGGAGGCGTTTGTGAACGAAAAGACGAAATCTCACAATTAACGTAGAGACAAGAAGATCACGATATGTCTGTTAAGATAGACGGCAAACTGTCAATATTCATAACGGGAACCTCCAGGTTATCAGGTCAGAGAGTTACCGCTACACTAACCGACGCGTTATTGTTTTATGAGGTTAAGATTTAAGTTCGAAGCTAATACCTTATTTCCATTATTTCTACATACAAGATTAAATCCTAATTCAACATCAATGTCTTAATATATGAAGTATCAAAAACGAAGTTATTCCTGATATAAATTAGACTTAAAACACTAATAAAGAATCGTATAAATTCAATTAAAAATGTATCACAGTAATGACGAGTTCTCACTTCGAATCAAATAGACCACTTAAAGATTATTTAAAAATTCAGTTCCTATCTCAAAACACAGAGCACCTCCACTACAAAGATAAAACGGATAATGATTTATTGGAGAATAATCTAAGAATCATACGGTGCTCAAAACAAATAGTTTCTTTTTGTAGCTTAAGTGCGTCATGTTTGTGTTGAAACCAAATATATATTTATTATCTCAGTCTATACACAAACGTATTTAAAATGTTGTTGTTAAAATTTATATAACATTATAACATCTGTAGTATAAAATATTACAATAAGTTATATTATGTTATATTATGGCGCGTAAATGATAAAAACGACGATATAAACCTGAAGATGATGTCATAAAACATCGAAACATGTCGTGCAATTAATAATAAGCGCCATAATATAACATAATATAACTTATTGTAATATTTTATACTACAGATGTTATAATGTTATATAAATTTTAATAACAACATTTTAAATACGTTTGTGTATAGACTGAGATACTAAATATATAAAAGAGTTTCTTGTTGCAGAGATAGAAATCGCCACACTCCTACAGAAAATCGAAACCCGTGACATTCTACACATTGACAGATACAACACGTCACAATACAAGCAACAAACTCTCATACGCGAAGCGAAGACTGACTTGAAGATAAATTAATTCTAAATTCGTGTACAAAATTAATCAGTCGCTTACATGCAAGTACGGCTGGATCGCTGGATGAGCGAGAAACTAAAGCCAACATAGTCTTTCGTTGTTAATTGACCTCAACACTCACATTTTCGTCGAGGTAAGCAGAATTTGTAAATTAGCTGTGTGTAAACTAGTTCAGCCCGCATTAGCATGGTAATCGGCACGTACACTCACTGAGAAGATGTCATTATAATGGTAATGAGTACAGTCAGTTTTACATGTAATAGAGAACAGCTGAACCAATAGTTTAGAGCGCGCGTGATTAATTTTCGAATTGGCGATTGAATACCTTGTTAGTCACTAGAAGGGACGGCTCCTCCACTAACATTCCAGAACATTCCGATTGACCAGACATGGCTCTACAGTCACGAAATATTACTGTAATCTGAAGGACTAATTTTCTTATCTCCGTGGGGTACGTTGGCTATACTGACTCAATGTTTTCATCTTGATCGAAGTCTTATTTGCTGTGTCAACGTGTCGGCCTGGTGTTGCAGGTGATTATCAGCGTTTTGGAGGAGAATAATACAACAAAAGCCAATTAACCCTTTGAAGCATTTAAGACAGGCAAAATGAGAAAGCTTGGAAAAAGACAAAATTGTGGGGAGGGGGGGGGGAGTTCTGGAGGAAGAAATATTACGTTAGAAGGTTCCCAGGCTATGCTCGCCTGTCCTTGAAATAGGGGTAGAGTGACAATGGAGGTGTTAGGGTGAGAGTAGACGCTTGAGATAACCGAAGACGAAGGTTATATAAATAATAACTTACTTTATTTTAACATTCAATTCGTACCTCAAAGAAAACACAACGCGTCTCCATTACAAGGAACTTAATTCTGTTGAAACTTTGGCAATCACCGCCGTGGATAGAGATCAGCCAAGTATCCCTTTGTTTATATCACAGATTTAAATGTTACCCTTCAACCAACTAGATGTTCGTAGCAGTCTTTCTCATACAAATTAATTTCACTCTTCTCTATTTTATTTATGCCTGACGTTGCTATGTGTAACAATTCGCTGTACCTGAAAACAGGTTAGTAATACGACCTAGAGCTCCTTACTGCTCGGTTAGAAGGCCGTAAACGCAAAACAAAGAATCAGCATTACAGGTGTTCCTGAAGGCATCGACTTTACGATGTAAGGCCATTCTTAAAAATCTTATATTTGCAGGGGTGCTTAAATAATTTTCTGCTTTTCGGGAAGGTTCATTATCGTTTCGTAGAAGCCCGCTCTTGCAAACTATCCTCAGCCCGCAGGGTCCACTTCGTACACACACTAACGTACTCTTTATTGAAATACTTTGATAATCGAACTGCCAGGCCTATTGATTTCAATGACTGCACTTTACAGATTGGATTGGCTTCAAGTCCCCAAAAATTCTCGCTCTCCTTTGCTATAATCTGGCCTGCCAATGTATTTTTAGAAAAGTTGTGGTAATTGAGGTTCTCACGGCTACGAAGACGTCGAGTTAGGTCTTCTGCGTTGCAACTCCATGTCGACTTGTGCGTAGACACCAAAGTTTCGGAGAAACATAACGAACCAGTTCTGAAGATGGAGGCAGCATATTTCTCCGAAACGTTGACCTCTAACCACAAGTCCCCACGGCGTTACAACATTCATAAGAGATGTTTGTACTCCTAGTTAATCTAGGCATCAATTTTCCTGTAGAAACAGCTGTCTTCTTGTAGAAGGCAAATAATAAGCATGCAACAAAAATCGAATGACGATCTTATGACGTCATCTCTTTTGTTTCTGCCGCCGGGGGCGATGCACAACCTTCTCTTTGTGAGATCGTGAGAGAGAATCGACCCTTCGCTCGCGCCTACCTCTAGGGCGATGTTGTTTGTTAAAATGTGCCTTCACTACGCAGTACACGTTTGTACCTGTTTGTTAGCCTCAGTATTTCTATTCCTGTTTATTTCAATAATTTTTATGTAGGGCAAACACAAAGTTAACATCAAAAGCATATGAGTTGCTGTCAGACGAAACTGCGAAATTGAACGTGGCCGCGTAGAAGCCAGTGTTCGTTGGTCTCGGAACATAATCTCAGACAGGAGCGGACTGAACGGACTAATCTTTCCGCGGTAGCCTCAAAACAGATCATCAATATCACCTTCCACATCCTTGCACTAAAATCATTACGACTAGCATCACTGGACGATATGCAACCTGTACAGTTAACACAAGACCGTTAATTAAATCAAAATAAATTAAGAACCAACCCCCAAAAAATCCTGTAATTAAGAAACAGGATTGTGGAAATAACCTCGAGGAACTGTAAGTTTCAAGCGAAATGTTCATATTTAAAGGCGATGCATCTAGCAAGGACTGACATGTTACTGAGTGAATATTATAGCTGTATTAAACGGAACTAGTCTGGAGGCTTCTGGCGAAAGTATATCGTTACTCTAATGCACATTTGTGGACAACTTTCTTCGCTTATTAACTAAAAATAAAAACGCTGGCAAAGATTCCGTCATCGGCTCTTTTCAATGGACCCAACTGAGTAATTTGCATAATTTCACCTGCTCCCTAAAGAAGATTCAGCTTCCGAAATGTAGTGTTTTTTTTCTAATTGTTTTAATTAAAAGGCAAAGAAAATTTCAAACATATGCATCAGTTTATACGGCAGGAGGTTAAAATTTGACCTGGAATTTTCTACATTCTGCACGACTGGACCTCCCCATAGCAACAGCACGTGTCCGATAACTAAATCCACTTGCTGCCTTTGAAGTCCTGGATTCTCTTAAGAACATGGTTACAGTACTGCAGTATGTCCTCCGTATGTGAAATAACATTGAACGCAATTGTAAATCCAGATTAGCCGTAACAACAACACAAGGCTCATCACTTGTCCAACCTACCATAAGGATAACAAGTGATGGGAAATTCAATCATGTCTGCTCATAATATTAAATTCTGAATAGTAGAACGGTCATGAAACTAACTGATGCAACTAATACAGTCCGATATCAATAAATATTACATCGCAGAATATGGTAATGTAATCAGAATTATGTATATGAAGAGCGTGGAAGCTGTACATCCCTAATATAAGGGTCGAAAAAAAACACAGGCGCACAACAAAAGCAGATGTTCTCTCAATTAGGAATAACATCAATTTTGGTAAGCAATAAGTTGACTGCCACAGTCACTAATGGCACAAATTTAGACCTTTTCATGTGAAGAAATAATTGCATATTAAAGAATAGTTAACAACATTACAGATATTTAATTAATTAATCTTGTCTGTGTAATCACAATTTAAAATTAAGATAATTAAAATACCATTTGATGCTCCTTATCGAAACATTCGATTTACATTTAGAACATCGAATGTTTCGATAAGGAGCATCACATGGTATTTTAATTATCTTAATTTTAAATTTTAAATTGTGATTAGACGGACGAGATTAATTAATTAAATATATATTTTCACAATATGACGCAACTCTATCATCTTAACATTACAGATATTAACTAGTTATATTTATGGTTGCAAGACCAAAATTCTGGAGTAATTCAGCATAAATTTATAATACACAAACAGCGTAACAGAAGTCAGCTTCTTAAATACAGACGTACAAGCAAAACTCTTAAAATAGTTATATCGTGTATAATCTGCCTTCAGAAACGGCCAATTTTAAACATGAATTTGGCACATGCGTTTTTTTTATCTTAATCTTATCATAATGAAAGTTCCTGCCGTTTTCATAGAGATTCTTATACCCAAAGAACTATCTGCTTCATTGAAGACATGCTTACATGTATTCTCGCGTAGTGACATTGCGTATGAATTGTTTATATCGCACACAGATACCAACCACGAAATGTGATCAAGAAAGAAACTCACAATTGTCTGTCTGTCCGCCCGTCCATCCGACAGCCATCCATCTAAGAGTTTGTTGTTTCGCGATGCTCAGTATCTCCTGAAAAATGCACAGGACACAAAGAATGTAAATAAACTTACCACAAATAGTAAAATACAGTAAGAGGAATATTGTGAAATGTGATTTTATTTACGAATACAAGTTCCAAGACTGGAGAGAGAAGTGGGTTTAACAGAAATGGTAGAGAAAAGTTATTATTGAGTGATAAGCCGTGCCAAACAACCCGTTGAAGTCCAGGATATCTTGTGACACTTTGTAACATCCCTTTGTCGGCAGTCCGTGGCTGCTCATTCAAAATGGAGGCCGTCTCCTTCATCTAAAACCTAAAACGGGCCAGTCTGTGGAAATGATTTAACATGCAGCTCTTCATTAAAATGAGCTATTAAACTATAAATTTAATTAATACTTCAAAGAAAAATTAACACGCCAAGAGCTTTGTATAAGTAAACAACACAGTATTTCTGATTTTACCAATAGATGCTATAAGACTTTAAAATATTTCAGAAAAATAAATTTTTAATTGTAAAGAAACTTTATAATTTTATGTTAAAATCTAAAGGAAAACTTTTTACTGATACGGGAGGTATAAGAAATTCCTACACGATTTTAATCGGAAAACCTGAAAGAAATAGAACTTTTGAGAGACTGGATTCAAGTGGCTCAGTACAGGGTTCAGTGGCGGACTGTTTTGAACACTGTAATGAAGCTTCTGGTTCCATAAAAGGCTAAAATACGTCTTTATAATCTAAGCAGCCACGATCTTCTCAGTAACTCTGCTCTATGGAATTAGAGGGTAGCCACGCGCCGAAGCACTGGTGTCAGAGTGGTCTGGATTACGCTTGAGCAGTCATAATTAGAGATGATTAGTGAGACATCCGATATACAGGCAGCTTTGATCCCTACCACGCTTTATTTTATCAGCTCAGACATTAAACCACCACGGTGGTATAGCGGTTAAAACGCTGGCCTTGTAATCCTGGGGTCTCGGGTTCGATTCCCGGCGGTGCCCGAATTTATAACTTGTGTTGGGCAAGGCCGCGGTCTAGGCAACACGGAGTTTTCCTCCGGGGGCTTCCCCGGTTTCTCCGTGGCATCCCATTCACACACAGAAGAAGGCAATGGCAAACCACTTCTGGATCATCTCCCAAGAACGTATATGAACAGGTCCCAGTCCGAGAAAAGGAGGGAAGGATCCTGTTCATATGGACCTGCCCTCAGACAGAACACTACAAATAAATAAGTGTAACGTCTAATTGATCTCTAATTTGTTTATGAATGTTAATGAATTGAAATTTCTACAAGGAATAATTTTCATTCAGTTTCGGTTTTCACAAGTTTTCACCCGATATGAAGTTGAACACACAAAATAATTACACAGTGTTTTAATGACTTCAGATACCTTTAAATTCCGTGTCCCCTCGCTTGGGGACTGCAGTTGGCTTTTATTGGTAACGTGCATTACCATCTATGCCATAACTTTTCATTATTACGCTAAACTGAAAGCAAATTTGATTTACTCCTTCATGTGTCTGCTTAGTCTTTAAGTCTGTACATTCCATAGTTATTCTAACGTAATCTACTTACTGACATTCTTTTTTATCAAAATTCTCAGACTTTTCGATTAATCGCTCTAAAATTTTTGGTTCTCACGGCGACAAGAGATATGTATTCTTCTAGGACGTAGCGCCATACAGTCATGCAAATATGTAGCGATGCTTCGTATAGCAATAACTGGCACAAACCGAAGTATATTTTAACAAAGAAAACAAATCCAATATTCGAAATTTCTGCACGTAAAAGCGCAACGGAATCATGAAGCTGTCTCTCTCACTATCGAAAAACAACAAAACACAAGTCTTCAACGTATTTAATGGCTGTGTTTCATTCCCATACATTCTCTCAGCTGGCCTAGGAACCCTCCTCAGTCTTTTACTGAAACCGAGTCCAGCGTGGAACACGTAGTATCTAAAGAGCCCCCCTGTGGTGATTTATATTACATTGCGGGACAACGGAGAATGTCACATGCTGTCAGTCTATACCGGGTATGAAGCTAATTGATTTAAAACGGTGTTACCTTCATGGCAGCCACCAACGAACACTCATTAACCCTTTGAAGACGAAGCTCATGTAAATAACATTTAAACATTTAGTCCGTACCTCAAAGGAAACATCATTTGGTTAACGCTCTCTGAGGAAACAATCTATCGAGTCTGAGAATCAAAATGAACCATAAACGGTCAGAATGTTGGAGAAAATACTTCCATGTTATATCTTGATACAAAATTTACGCTGTACGAGTCGACGAAATGTCGCTGATATTTCAATTAAAAGTTTATTAAATGTACTCTACTTTATCTCAGAACTGACAGGCAACCTGGACTAACTAAGTTTGTTAGTTTTCTTTGTTAAATCTTCACACTACACGGAAAATGGTTATCCCAAGCACACACAAAGTGTTTCGTAAATATGTTATCACTTTCATGGAGACATTTGCTCTAATAATACCTAACAGCAAACAGAAGGTAATCAGCATTAGAATTTCTCCATAAGAGTCAAGATAACAGAAATACCCAATGTAAATTAAAAACGAAAGAATGAAATTGATCAGTGCCTATGTGCCATATAAATCCATAGAATCTCCGTATCTTGCGTGTTCAGAGCTACACATTTAACAATATTTGAAATACCCATTCATTCTGGATTTGCATGTCAGTTATTGACATCTCGCCTGATTGATGCGGCTAACCCGAGATACATGTCTGTCGGGCACGCGATATAGCCTCAAGGCGTCACCCCAGTCGCGGTCCAGCAATACAAATTAATTGATTGTGTACAGTTCCGCATAATTGTCTGTTCTCACGGCAGACGTGCGGACCACAAAGATGTAACACGGAAAGCATTACTAAAAATCGAAACACGTGGTTCGCGACCTACATGATCGTATTTCAAAGGCAAAATTGCCACTGACAATAAACACCGCCCAGTTAACCTCAAGATAAAACCAGGTTAGTGTAATACGTCGGGAGGTCTCCGAAGTCCTTTTCGACGCTGTGAAAATAAAGCACTCTTACGGGAATTTGAAATCGGGTTATATGTATACTCGTTGCTTCGTTGGTTACTGGGTTGTTTTACGATTCTGTACCACCTGCGTAGGTTATTTATCGTCGAATAATATATTGTAAGGAACGAACATTTGCAGGTGTTTGAGAATCGGGTGTTGAGGAGGATATTTGGGCCTAAGAGGGAAGAAGATGGGGCGTGGAGAAAACTGCACAATGACGAGCTTAAAAATCTGTACTGCTCCCCCAGTATTGTCAGGGTGATTAAGTCGAGAAGAGTGAGATGGGCGGGACATGTAGCGCGCATGGATGGGACAAGAGGTATGCACCGGGTACTGGTTGGGAAACCTGAAGGGAAGAGACCGCTGGGGAGACCTAGACGTAGATGGGAGGATAATCTCAGGCGGGATCTATGAGAGATAGGAGTTGAAGGAGACTGGATTTTGTTGGCCCAGGACAGGTCCGGTGGAGGGCTTTGGTTAATTCGGTGATGAACCTTCGGGTTCGGTAAGCCATCTAGTTAGTTAGTTAGTTAAGGAACGAACATAGATCACAAGTGCCTGAAAATAAAGCGATCAGGAAAGCATGTGTACATAATAAGAATGAAGTAACAAATGTAGGATATCACGCAACGACAGAATATCGTGATTTTTCCAGTCCTGTAGAACTGTTAGGACAGCGAAATCCATGGCAGTGGACACATAGGAGTAGAAAAATCACGTGTACTTTGTTTAAAGAACCTGATGGAAAATATAGACTTGGAAGTTGAGATTTCATATTCTCACGGCGGTGAATATGAAGATAACTTTTCTGGGATGTTGCGCCGTGTAGTCTGGAGGACGATTAACGACGTTTCAGGTTTCAGAGGTGCTTACTGCTTCCATCATCAGGGCTTTCGCCCTGATCGCCTCATTTTCTGAAGATAAAGGTACAAGCATCTTTGAAACGTCGGTAAACTACTACCAGACAACGCGAAGCAATATCCCGGAAGACAGTCTTCTTAATCTGGAAGTGGCACATGATCGTTTACAGTGACTGACTTCGGTATTCGTTGTTCTGAACCTCTGCGTTTTGCTACCACAGTATTTGTTACAAGTTTAAATTTCTGTAGTCTTCAGTCCTCACGACAAACTCCGCGTCGGTATAAAAATATCTGGATTGTCACAGAAGCAAACTTATCCTGAGTACCGCGTAATATATTTCACGTGAAACTAATACATGTGTTTGCTCTCTAAATTGAATTTCTTCCATTAGTTATATACGGACAATACACGGTATATCTTAACCACCAAATCTATTTTTCATTTACTCTAAAATGGAAAAAGTAACCACACACAAAAAAAATCGAAATGCAGTTCCGTCACACCAAGTTCACTTAAAAATATTACTAGGAATTCATGACAACTATGATATATGTCAAGATTCATTGTTTTGCCGCTGGTTCGACGGTCTCCTTCACCCCCTCAATCACAATCCTGTAATCGATAAATAGGGTAGGTCTCGTAACATTTTCGTCATTAACACATACAAGAAGGTAAAAACAAAACTGATTAGGGAACACTGAAATTATGCAAGTAATAGATCAGTAGTCTGTACAAATATAATACAACACTTCAGCAGTTAACAGCCGCTTGGGCACTCAAAATGTGATAAGGACACGGCTGTAGTTAACAGTAAGACGGAGACAAGACAGAATGACAGCGCATTCCTAGTTTTCCGTTTGCTTCGATATCTGCCGGCAACACTTCATTGACAAGATGGCGGTCAGGAAATTAAATTCCTCCAGTCCTTGTCGAAACATCTGTTTATCAAACGTGTCAATTTTACTGTTACACTTTACACAAAGTTAGTGAATCCCACACAAAACAACGAGCAGAAACACTGCGAGAATTCTGCTGTTATTCACAAATATCGAACATTCAGTTCCTGCTCGCTGAGCATTGCTTACAGGCACAGTCCACCCTCACGCACTTTTGGAAACTAACAGTCAAGCATTTCATGCAGACACACAGAAGTTTCAGGACAGATTCCTAACTCGACAGTTTAATACAATACTTGTAACTTTGAACGCCCTAGGAATGATATTTCAGTTACAATGGTACCACAGTTTTAACAGATCAACACTGCACAGCAGACGATGAGACTAGTACCACTGAAAAGAGCCTTTCTTGAAAAGCTCATATTCGCTCCCCACCTTGTGAAAATCTAAGGCTTAATTACAGAAAAGCAAGAATCCGCCCCTGGACGCTATCCTGAGCCACTTGCGTTCAGTCGACAACCTCTGGAGGAACAACAACCCAGAAGACAACCATTTTTACCATCGTTCCATGTTCCTCAGGGTAAGAGACCGCGTTTAACAGATGCACAACAGTTAAAAACTGCAGTTCAGTACATTTTAATCTTTACGTTCTTAGACACAATAAGGGAAAATCCCAGGACAGGGTCCGGTGGAGGGCTTTGGTTAATTCGGTGATGAACCTTCGGGTTCGGTAAGCCATCTAGTTGGTTGGGTCCACTATTTGGGAAGCCTGAGGGGAAGAGACCTCTGGGGAGACCTAGACGTAGATGGGAGGATAATCTCAGGCGGGATCTATGGGAGATAGGAGTTGAAGGAGACTGGATTTTGTTGGCCCAGGACAGGGTCCGGTGGAGGGCTTTGGTTAATTCGGTTATGAACCTTCGGGTTCGGTAAGCCATCTAGTTAGTTAGTTAGTTAATAGTTTTCCAACAGAATGGTAACTAGTCTTCGGCGAATTTACTGTGCTCTTAACTTCTTCGTAAAATACGTAATTTCAATTTCCCCAGTGTTTGAACTCTGTGCCACATTCTTGAAAGATTCATTACACACCTTCATATTATGACCTATACTGCATTCCGGTGACATGACATTAGAACATACGAAGGTATACACGCGTAAGTGAATTCACAAATGTGCGACTGAACTGCTGTTCCTCGTACCATGGAACATAATGAACCAGTGAACGTCTGCGAGAGTTAATGAACAAATTTCGTGTTCACAGCGATGCAGACATTTACTTCCTTGTCTCTTGGTTTCCACAGCAATTAGCAAAGCTAATGAACACGCCCGCAAACGGCTCTCCTAGAGAAAACTCCTCGAAGAACAAAGCATACTAGCGATGTCCAAAACAAAGGAAGCCGATTTCAGGCAACAGAGAGATACGACACAAATCCCTGTCGAATTGAACTTCGGTAACATGTTCTGAGCTTACTAAATGAAAATGGTTCAATTGAAATTCACTATTATAAATGTATTCTTCAAAGCAAAGAACATAGAGTAAAAACATGTGTGGAGTCCTGTCCTCCAGCAATTATACAAAATTACTGGACGAATTTCAGTCCACCCTACCAACTGTAATGCAAATTCTTCTCATAATTTCTTATACAGAATGTGACATCTGTGCCAGTGGACGCCTATTTTAGCTAACATAACCTAACAAAGCGAAATCTGTAGTAAGGCATTACGTGTGTTGACATTTCTAGTGATACAGGTAGCCAAACATGGCAACTGGATGATTACTACTCTTACTTCTCAATACGGAGTCCTGCGTTCGAATGCCTATAATACATCTTCACAAGTAAATGAATAATTTTGGGCATGAATTCTTGAAGGCAGAAGTAATTTCGCCTCTTTTAAATCAGATGAGGTTGGCAGCCAAGTGACTTTCTTAAGTGGAAGGAACACTAGTGTCTCTGAACGAAAGAACAGATGCTGTTGCCTAGTAACGGTTTTACTAGTGGTAAAAAATTTCGCACTCTATATTATGTTAGGAACAATGAAAGGGCTTCGAGGAAGTTAAGTTTGCATTTTCAGTATATAATTTTTGAAGAAAAAAATTATTACGAAATACACGTTTTCAGTTGTGTTTAAATGTTACACTTTACAGAAGACTCAAACCTAAGGTAGTTAGAATCTTATCTGTCGTGATAACATAAAGGTTCATCCTTACCACACAGAGGACGTGGTAGTAGAAATAGAATAATTGGAACGTAAGACACACAGTCAGATTCGAGAAAACATTATTCTTTGGATATGAACAGAGATTATAAAACACAGGGTGCATGTATAAAAGTGTCGTAACCACGTGAGAAGCTACACCTTGAAACACGTGTTTATTGACCAATGCAGATGCATCAAACGACATTTCATTTAAGTTAAAGTAAAGTAACTTTTATGTAATGATTCATAAAAATTGTGATAAAGAAAGCTCTTAAAATATCGCCAATTCAAAAGAGGAGTATAGTAAACCAGCGTAGCAAACCGAAATTGAAATAAATGTTAAGGAAATGGGCTCTGGTTTGCACATTACATTCAGCTGCCTCAGGATGCAGATAAATATAAGAATTATGTTGGTTAAACAGTCTCATGTGCATACGAATACCACGTTACGTAGAGAACACCTACCCAAAGTAGCAGGAGGCTGGATAAAACTGCGTAATGAAGAACTTCATAGTTCTTACTCTTAGTTAGTGTTTTAAGATGACCAAATCAAGGAAGATGCGATAGGAGGGGAATGTAGCATGAAGGACAATGAATTTCAGTAGGAAAACCTGAAGTGGAGTGTCCACTGGGGAGAACATAGGGTGTGAAAGTTTGAGTTGGATTTAATTCCATGGGATAGGGACTGAAGGAAGGTCTTATGAACACGGCTAGGAACTTTGTTGTTACATAGAACACACGTTATTTCCTGACCAGCTGAGCGAATATCAGCGTCTCATGCATCGTGAAGTTTGACACTGCAGGCATAACAGTCGTGAATAGAAAACTATTTTGAATTCAAAACCCCTCTGAACGCCATGAAAACTGCACATATTAACTGTCTTCCCATAAAAAGAGAAATGCAGTAATAATGTTATATTCGAGTCAGTTCGCATTTACACAAAGTACGATGGATACGCGACATAGCCCACTCTGCATTTCACACTTGTTCCAACCTGACGCCTCAACTCGCCTTCTAGTCCAGCCCCATTTCTTTCTATTCGAAATAAAACGATAGATTTTTTTTTTTACTCGGCAGTCTGGTATACTGTGTGCTTTCAGCCACCAACTGGGAAGGGATGAAGCGAATCCCCCCCCCTCCAAAAACCCCACCGCCCACCCCAAGAGGAAATTATCTAAAGGCACGTCAGATTAAACATGAAACCTACGCCACTTACTCGATACTCCATCCTTTCCAATACTCGAGAATACGAGCATCTCTAATTAGAACATGTCTTTCGAATGTCGTTGTTTACAGATCAACATCTTTACCGGCAAAGGTTCGAAACGTCTTTGAGCGGAAGACCAAATTACTCTTAATTCTTTATTTAGTAAAAGGATTGTCAAAACATATGACACCCGGAGAAAATATTGTCTGAACGAGTGCTTAGTAAGCCTTCTCCATATTCGATAGGTCCCTGGTTCAAATCCCGGCCCAGATAGGGGTTATACTTATTGAGGTCTTTCACAGTTTTAATCAGTCCCTCGTCGAAAACGTCGGAAGAATGCCTTAAACTGAGCCAAGACCACTTCCACATTATTTCTAATTCATTACACACAAGTCGTCCGATCATTCGACGCAACATAACATTAGAAATTGAGTGCGTAGTTAAACAAATTAATAAAAATAAATAATAGACTACAGCTATGAACAGTAATAAGTGATGCGGACAATCATTAATACTAAATACAAGCTATAAACGTGAACATCTGAAACTAAAAATCTCTGTTAGACAATATGACAAAATTTTACCAGAACATGCATCTCCAAGTTCATTTTAAACTGGAATAAAATTTATAAGATATTGTAGGTGCGTCATATTGTGATTTATTTAAATAGTATTAAAAATATATTAAATTATATTATATTATTATATTATATATATATAATATATTAAATTATATTATATTATATTAATTATATTAGTGACATGTGAAACAACAACAGATGAAGATACAATATGAAGGACGAGAAAATGATAAAGAATAAAATTCTTAACAGTTAGAATCTATATATTAACTACCTGTCTTTTGTTATAAACAAACATAATAACCACAGAAACGAGAGTAACAGAAGTGGCTTGGGGATTCCACACACAGACACTTCCTCGTTTGCAGATCTTCACGTAAGTGCCCGTTGTTGTTAATTTAAGAGCTTAACGTAAGTCGTAATGTATCGACAAATGCTACATGGGTAAAGACACATGGACGGAGATATTCTTATGAGTCTTCGAACGTGCTTAAAAATTATAAAATTTGTGTTATATCCTTGTAAACCACTCGGGTTAAAACTACACAAAAATAAGAAAAGTGTATAATTAATTCACGAGTCAGAAAATTGAGGAAATGGGAACGAACTAAGACGTTACAAAGGCAAACAAACTAAGCCCTCAGAATCTCCCGACAACTAATCTACACCTGCATTTAAGCTAGGATTATCCTTGGTTACATATCGCTGTAGAAACAACCACGTGACTTTGTGTTGGAATTTAATATGACTAAAGAGTTTCCATGGTAACTGCCACCCGTATCGTAATTTCTGCGAACAAGAGAAGACGCATTCATCTAGAGAAATGAGCCCAGCCTCTTTCTTATATTATCGAAAATTAAATTGCAAACGCTACTGATAATGTGTATTTGTTCTTCAAGGAAAAATCATGTATGTACAAGTACATACACGATTTATAAATCATCGCTTTGGTAAACACATCACTTCTATTATATATGCCATTAGCCATCAGATGAGTACGCTAAACATTCTGAAGCGTATGGAAACAACAATTCACTGATTTTAATCTGTTTCTAGTTTCTTAACGAATAAAACATTTATATCATCCACTAGCGAAATGTTGATTAAATTATCGTTTTATATTCGAAAGAAATGATCTGTCTTCTTTAATTTAATATTATACGTAATTATTTTAATTTGTGTCAGTATGCCTGGAAAATTGAATAAACCACACGTATCCACTTAAGAAAATTAGTTATATTCTGTATATGGAAGTTTTTCAGGTAGTTCCAGAACTGTATTATGATAAAGTACAATCTGAAGCTAATACACAGACACCTTCCTTATGCTCCTGTCTCATAATACAACGTTCTAGAATCATCCATCATTATTACCTGACATTCCACACGCATCAAGCTAACAATAACACCACATTAAAACCACAAAGCATTGGGATTTTCATTGAGAATTTCAAAAGCGAGTTCTCTCAGCAATATGGTGTCTGGTGACATTCGATAATGTTCGAATGCTCGTTATTTTCGTTGAATATGAGGTTTATACAGCAGTGAGGATAATGATTACGTCCTTCTGGGTTTTGCTGCCGTCTAGCCTCGTCATTAGATGAAAACGTTTTGGAGGAACATATTGTCTTCATTTCTAGCCCTGTAGATGGAGGCAGTACATTTATCCGAAACGCTGGCATCTAACGAAGAGTTTACACTGCACCAAAGCCCAGAAGAACTTCGTCATCAAACAGATTTCTTGTTTAAGGAACCTTTTAGTTTGTAGATATAAATGTGCTACGATCGTGTTGTAAATTCGCATGAACCGACTGTACCTGGTGCGCTATATATTTTACTGACGGATACATCCCGCATTATTATAGAGCCCTAATACGAACCGGCATGCTTTCAGTTAGCCGACTTGGCTTATGTTCTGATGTAACTAGGCAGTTCGTCATCCGTTGTGCACATGACAGTGTTGTCACACTACATCACTCACTGCTAAGCAGGGAGAATCTTTGTTAAATACAAAAAAATATACCTATTTTGTTTCTGTACAAAGCTCAATTATGTAAATCACCAAGCGATTCTTTCCCAAATCTTTTTGTTTTATATCAAATCTAAAACTTCTTGACGATGGTGAAGAGTCAATTGAATAAAATTTTTCTTGGATATTATCCATCGTCTAGTAAATATAAAACGTTAAAAACGACGTTTCGGAGATGGGACTCTATCTCCGTCTTCAGGTTCCTACACAGTTGGGCCCACTAGATAGAGCTAATCCCATCTCCGAAACGTCGTTTTACGTTTTATATTTACTAGACGATGGATAATATCCAAGAAAAATTTTATTCAATTGACTTTTTGTTTTACTCTTACGCAAACTTCCATACTTTCTTTTTAAACAAAACTCCACTCCTGGGAGCTCATTTGTCCGAAATGTAATTAGGAGATCGTAAGCCTAATTGCGAAATGATGACGTCACATTCACCGCTTCTAGATCGTAGGCTGCTCATACGTGATGAGAATAGCGTAACTCTTGGTACTTAATCAGCAGAGAAACATTTTCTCGCCCTCCAGTTGTCTGGGTCACGATCTAAACATCTGGCTACTGGCTGGAGTAGCAAATCTTTTAAAACAGCTACGCTAATTTCTAAGACTGGCAACTCACAGACAAGTCAGAACACATGATTACGTTTCTTATAATAAATGTTATAAGATACTCTTTAATTAACTTCAATGTCAGTCCCCTGGCAACCGCGTCCGAACTATTTGACCGGCTATGCTCCATCTCGGTATGGGGCATAAATATTATTTAATTCATACACAAACTTTTACGTAAACTTATTTACTTTCGTGATTCAATTTTATTGTGATTTTAATTTTATACAATTAAGTTTCAGTCATGTGAATTGGCTTTCAGGACCACTATAATTTTGGGCTTTAGAAGCTAATACGTAGCCTGTATATTTACAGACCTTAGAGACATTTTGGTGAAAACTGCATATATGGCACTTACATTATAGGGGATGTGGGAGGGGGGAAATCGCCCCTCCTGAAGGGAAAATTCAATTTTCTTGTTCACAAAAACTAAACGCTGAATGTTACAGACTAGTTCATCATGCAGACAACAAGCGGAGAATTTTGTCATAATTTCTGCTCTACAGCAACAAAACAAAACAGCTGAAAATAAAGGGCCGTGTCGATTCCATCGGTTGCAACAGCGGAATACAAGAATTCAATATTGTCACTGGTATCGTAATTTTTTCCACGAAGGCGTTCGTATGTAACATTTAGGGTTACAGTTTAAATAAAACATTCTGTACCATGCCACGTTACACATATCATATCAATTATCTTCTGTTATTTACGATCTGAAATGACCATTCTGGCAACAAACACATATGAATATTTACATTTCCGACTTTTATAAACCAAAACAAATTTCTGTCATTAAAGGCATTTTAAAACAGTCGTAATAAAATAAATAAAAGCATAGTTTGCAGAAAATAAAACAATAATTTTTGCTTTTACAAAAGGTATATTTTATGTCTGCATCTAGCTAAGAGAATGAAATATACAGAAATTGGAAGGGGGATTTTTAATTATCCATTTTATAACAGCAGCCTGGAAGCAGAATAACAGATTCATGTAAAGCAGAAGCTGACTATTTTTTTTCTTAAAACATTTCGTAAAGGTATAAGCGAGTCGACACGCCCATAAAAATTCTTGCATAACAAATGCATGGCTTCCTGTAATTATTATCAGCACGCTTTTCAGTTTTCCGCGGTTATGGTAACCGAATCCGATCTCTGTACTGCGTAACAAAACAAACGACATGCCTTCCTTACAGATACGTACATTGGCATTTGTCGCGGGCAGGACAGTTTTGTTGCATGGTTAGTATTTACGGTCAAATTATTGCAATACAATTTAGATTTAAGCTTTAATACCAATTCAAAATAAACTTCTGAGTATTGAAGGACCCTTGGATCGTACATCTCCGTTTCCGGTTACGCACGTCCATGTTGAGGGTCCATACTGTAACCGTCCCAGACATTAGAGTCCTGTGGAATAACGCTACAAGGGCGAGCTGGCTGAAATTCTTTAAAAACAAAGGGTCGTCTGTGTTAAGTGAGAAAGTAGGGGGAGGACTCACATGTGATCTCTTGGGGGAGTGAGCCAGCGGCAGTCGTGGAAAGTTTCTTGACGGTAGAGGTTAAGACTTTTATAAACTTGTGTTCCGAAGAAAATATATAATAAAGATATAATTAGATTAACAGTCAATCATTATCTCTCCGTCACACATTCGATCCCCGTAAACGACCCTGAGCACCCGAGCTAGCTGGAGCAAACAACTATCTGAAGAAGGACGGTTATAATACCTAAATAAAAATTACACGAAAATGTAACTTATATTTTCAAATTCGCTAAGTTATAACATCATGGGTATTGTGTAACGAAGCTTTCTAGCATGAACATTTCATGATAATAAATACTTAAGAACATTTCGGTAAAAATTATATAAAACATCAAGCAGACATTTTTAAACAAACATTTCTGGTCGGCTAATTTACTGAAGAACGTGTTACTTTGTACCGGCACGGTTCATAATACTATCAACAAATTATGAGCGTATATATTTAGGTTATTGAAGATCTGAGGATAAGAGAGTAAGCCCTGAAGATGGAAGCAATAAGTTACTCTAAAACGTTTCTATGTACGCATATGACTTCACGGCGTTACAGCCCAGAGGATCAAGAACTCGAAGTCCACAGCAGCTGCAGAACAAAAGTCTTTACTAATTTCTTGTACCTGTCAGGATTCTATGGACATTTTCCACAGTTATACTAATCGTTCGGCATGAAAAAGATTTCCACAAAATCAGTATTAGAAACTGTAAAAACATAGCCCCTGACCGTTCCCGATGGAGGCATTGTCTTGAGCATTCAAAGACCCACCCTGGGTTGTAGCGCCCAAGATGATGATGATGATAATACTAATCATTCTCATATTTTCATATACTGACGAGTACCATTGATTAATAAAAACGGAAAAATGCTAATAATTGTCAAGAGCTGTACCATATTTTTTTTTTCAAAATTAAAAAAAAAAAAAGCTACTGGTAGTAGCCAAACATTTATACAGTAAATGAAAGAATAGATGACTACTTATAAAAATGTTTAACCAACCTGAATACGGTGTGCAAGACATATTCCTGGAATTTTCACATCGTTGCACACCGTCGGAATCAGATCTGTAAGCCCATCCAAAAGATGGCTAAAAAGTGGGTAGAGGATTTTTCTCGTCTGTGGACGACAGAAGGCTGCAGAGAGCTGGAAACATTTTAATGCCAGCAGCTCCGTAATCATTTCCATGAACTTCTCGTTATAAGTTATACATTCTACGTCTGTCCTATCAAACCAGTATTCCGAGATTCGTCGTGATCTTCTCGGATTAAATGCCTGGCAAAGAGAGAGAGAGGGGGGGGGAGAGAGAGAAGAAGAAGACAGGAGAAAACGACTGTTTGCTTGTTAGGGGCGAAAGATCTAATGGTCAAAGTCACGCTGAATTACTCCTCTCACTTTTATCCTGTACGTCTCAACAATAATTTCACAGAAAGAGAGGCAATTTGCTTTCTTCCAGAACTACACTGAGGGCTAGTGGACACCAGAACAGTAAAAGTTGCACAAGTTTCGTTCGGAATAAATGAGAATCGAAAACAGAATATCTAAGTAAAAAAAAAATAGAATTTCCTTTAATTCCACAAACGGTTGGAAGTGTCTTGATAAACTGAGCAACTAGCAGATTCTCTATTCTACAGAGTCAGTTCTCTTTAATATTTTAATATTTTCCGTCAAATCACAATTTTTAATAAGATGATAAAATATAAAATATTTAAAATATCATTTCACGTTCCGCATCGAATGATCGATTTACGTTCCAATTTGTAAATCGATTTCTCTTTA